ATATAAGAAAAACAATGTAGGTCGGCTATTGAAAATAAAGTAATAAAATAATAACTGTTTGTCAATAAGATAAGTCACATGCAACATAAGATAAGCAGTGAATTTTCCATTTCATGTCGACTTTAAAGATTCAACTTTAACAAGAGGGTTTTACTGAAAAGCTAAAGCATAGCATGCCGTGGAAGCGTACACATCAAACAAACAAAAAAACTATACAAGAAAAAATCTGAACTAACTAGTTGACCTCACGAATCAACTAAAGTACTAGTTGATCACTGTGACCCATCCCTAAGTTTTGAGCCAGTGTTGTATATTTAGTACAGTGTGCTGTGTTGTATAGTTGTATTTCAGGCAGTGTTGCATATTTAGAACAGTGTAGCTGCATTTTTCAAGCCGTGTTGTATATTTAGCACAATGTGCTGTGGTTTTGTTCTGAACTACAGGACCGGCTGGACTTTGATGTTTAATCTGAGAGAAGCAAGCGGTCCATTCACGCGGGGCTCCAGTCCGAGCAGCACAGCAGGAGAGACACACACACACACACTCCACAGAACGACAGAAAGGGAGAAAAACCCTGGAAGGCAGAGTATATCAGTCTCTGACAATAAAGGGATTAGCCCAGGCTTGAGCTGATATGAGTGTGTATCTGTTTATGTTTCTGTCAGACATTGCTGCACACATGCTCTGAACAACTTCACTGTTTGCCTGATTCCCCCATTCGTTCTCTGTGTTAACATGTGGTAAATATGAGACATTTGGTCCCCAGCATGACGTATGCAACACTCAGCATGCAAAAGTGAAACCAAGACTACTGGCCATGACATATACACACATTCACAAACAAACACACACACACACACACACACACACACACACACACACGCGTTTGGATTCGGTATCTGATGTGGAATTTATATTTTTAAAAATGATAAAAGAAAATGAACAATAAAAGCAAAATTAAATTAAAATAAATACAAATTTAAATGAAATGAAAATAAAATATATAGGTGGTGGAGAAATTGGAAATTCAAACAGAATGAGCACCACAGCTCAATGTGAGCATGCGTGTTAACCACTAGGCCACGGTTTCCACCAACAATTAAGCACTAATGATAGTCTTAAGTATAAATTGAGGGGTGGATAATGAATTTGGACCCTGGGAGAACGTTTCTGGTCCATTGCATCCGATCCGGACAGTCCGAGGACCAGCAGTAACAAACCCATCTGTGCAATGAGACATCTGCCCACACAGCTCGACACCTCTCTCAAACTTACACACACACACACGCACGCACTGGCCTGGGCACACGGCAGACTTCAGAACAGCTGTGTGGACTCACACTCATCAACGGGAACATTCACAGCACTGATTAACATAACGAGCCAAGAGCAGGGACACACACAGAAGTGTTTGATAGCCGATGCAGTGCTTTAAAGGAATGGATTGTGCATGAAAATGAAAATTCTTCCATCATTTACTCACCCTCATGTTGTTCCAAACCCGTATGACTTTCTTACAGTATGTGGAATATAAAAGGAGAATCTCATTAGCACATTAGCATATTCAGATTTGTCGCATGACATGACCATGCCAAATTTAAATCTGCTCGAAATCCTTTTGTGTCCCACGGAAGAAAGAAAGTCATACAGTTTTGAATGATATGGATGCGAGTAAATGATGGGCAGACTTTTCCTTTAAAGTCTGCCCATGCTTTCTTAAAAGCAGTTCTTAAACGTCCGTGGTTGCATGAATAAAGACCTCTGCGTCTGCAAGGCTACATTCGGCATTCCTTTTGAAAAATCAGGCTTAAATGCTTACTGAAAGAAAAAATCCTCAATGGACAACATCTGCACTGCAGCGAAGCTCTCATCTTGCAATGGTGTGTAGGTGTATGTGTGTCCGCATTAAAGACGAAGATGCTCAATTGCAAGAAATACCCAATTAAACTTCTCATTAATATTATAAAAGACAAGTAAACTTAAACTTTCCAAAAGAATCCCCATGGCCCTTCACAAAGAAGAGTAGAATAGGAATGAGAGAAAAAAAAAAAAGTTGATGTAGAAAGATGATGACAAAATTAGCCAAGAGAAAGAAAAGCAGTCTTCATAGAGTTCTTGCAATAATACACACAAAAACAAAAGCTCACACTCACATTGGTTTTGTCTGCTTAAGCACCCTACGTTTTTTGCATTGTTGTTTTTAATACAAATACTCATCTCTGGACATCGTGGACAGAGAAAACGGTCTGAAATATACCTGCACAAACAAACACTACTTGAATTTTTAGCTAATCTAATCTTAGCTGATCTTAAAATACTCTGCTGCAACTGACCAATCAGAATCAAGAATTCCGGAGAGCCTACCACAGTCAAATATTTGACCGGCATATTCTTCCTACAAAGCTATGCCCATTTCATGTTTCTGGCATCACTCTGTGGTCAATATCTGCTTGCATAATTTAACCTGAATCAATACATCATGTATATTCGTTTATTTGTCAAGTAGCTGTGTAATAAGTGGGATAATGTGTAATTCAGCCAATCGTTACAGCAAAATAAAGCCTAAATAGGTAAATAATTTGAAGACTTTAAGACCCTCTAGCGGGCCCCGTGGGTATTAGGGTCATACCCCTGCTGATCACCATTTGGTAACAATTTTATAACTCTACAGTACATTAATTAATAAGTGGGTTTTGTTCATTCTAAATGCTGTGGAATTATCATCAAAATTAGAGGTAATATTTAACATGTAACAGATGCATAGACATTAGCTTAAAAACAACCAAGAATATTTCTATAAAAATTATTATTAATCACAATCTTTTTATAAAGCATTGTAAACCTCTTTACTGAATCTTTTGATACAACTAAAGACATACTGTACAGTATCCTTGAGCAAATCTGAATGTTTGCGCAATAGGCCTTTAAACTACAAAGCGCACAGCGTCCGGAGATTCTTCACTGAACGATTACTTCTGTTTCTTGCTTTGGGTCCCTTGGCTTTGTCTCTCGTCCTTCTTCCGGGAGGATTTTAGGAGCGCTGAGAGATATGTGCGACTCAAACAGACACGTGCATGCAGCGCTAATGAGCTCCCTCTGGAAGCCCTCAAACACTCTGTCATACGTTAGAATTGCATTGGCAATACGTTACTTGTGTGTTAGCAGTTTGTATATGGTGTTGGAAAGGTGGAGAGGACGAAGGGACAGGAGAGAGCGGGATAGAAATGAAGAGAGTTTAAAAAGAGATGAATGGAGTTGATAGGGGAAATATCAAGGCTGTTGTTGTGTGTTTGTTTGTTTGAGAGAGAGAGCGAGAGAGAGCGAGAGAGAGCGAGAGAGAGCGAGAGAGAGAGAGCGAGAGAGAGCGAGAGAGAGAGAGCGAGAGAGAGCGAGAGAGAGCGAGAGAGAGCGAGAGAGAGCGAGAGAGAGCGAGAGAGAGCGAGAGAGAGCGAGAGAGAGCGAGAGAGAGCGAGAGAGAGAGAGAGAGAGAGAGAGAGAGAGAGAGAGAGAGAGAGAGAGAGAGAGAGAGAGAGAGAGAGAGAGAGAGAGAGAGAGAGAGAGAGAGAGAGAGAGAGAGAGAGAGCCAGGCCCCTCTAGTCTGAACTGTGAGGAGCAGGTGCAGGACAGCAGCATCAGTGTGTGTTTGTGTGTGTGTGTGTGTCTATGCAAATGTGTGTCAGTGACCGTGTGTGTGTGTGTGAGATGAGGTTGTCATATGGATTGGCATGGAGCGATGCAAAGCAATAGCCTACTGGGTAATGAACACACAACACATACTGTACACACACATGCAAGGTGAGCCTGTCAGGTCATAGAAACTTGCTCCTGCTGTGTTAATGCGCTTTGTGTTGGCTTACCAGCAAAGCCTTCAGCGTTTACACACCGATTCAGTTTCAGCTTGACTTTCTGCTTCAACTTGCCCATCTGAAACTTTCTGTGAGATTTTAGCTCCATGAGGAGCCATTTAAACATTGTTTCAATGAAAATGCAAAGCATTTTTTAAAAGCAGAGGCTATTTACACTAACTCCGCCCCCTGACGTCTGGTTGGGCCAGACAAACTCACCGAAGACGCTGGATTCTCAACAGTAACAATGTTGTAGGGGTAAGGCGCAGGGCAGAAAGTTTAGATTTTTTTTTGCCAAACTCGCTCTACTACCTTTTCCCATCACATATCAGATCAGAAAGGCATTTATTTTCAATACTATCTATCGCTACAATCTAGTGTAAATAGCCACTGCCTTTTTGAAATGTTATTTACAAAAAAATGCTCACCTAATATTTGGTGTTTTTAACTATGTACATCTAAATTCATCATTTGATAGTGATACAATGCACTTATTGTGTACATACAAGTTTTTACATTGTACTTATAATTTAAAAAAATACCTGCATGTAATTACATCCATAATTTCACTGTTGATCCTTCCCTTACCCCTTAACTCACCCTTAAACCTGCCCATACCACCAAACCTGTCCCTAAACGTACCCGTATCCCTCCTCAATAGCAGCAAAAGTGTTTTGCAATACAATATGAATACAATAAGTACATTGCACTTATTTTTTTATGTAACTACATAGTAGTTAAAGACACCTAATATAAAGTATGACCCAAAATATAATACAATTCCAACGCTTTGTTTTTTAAAATGAGGATCATAAAAATTGTTAATACACCTGTGATGCATTTTTTTAAAAGTTTTGTAGGTACCCCTCATACCCCAGATAATCATATTTGTGTGAATGTGCATCTGTGTAAGGGAATACAATTTCTCCATCTCTAATTGGTGGCAGAAATACTCGCAAAGTTTTGCCACATGGTACCACATTTCCTTCCTCCACAGCTGTGCGAAGGAAATAAATAGCCAGTACAGAATAGAGAGCAAAAGAGGTGTAATGAACAGTAAAGGGAGTTCAAATGTAGAAACTGAGGAAACGCAGAAGTGGTTGTCTGGGATTGTGGCGGTGTTTCTAGAAATCAGCATCTAATTCCGCCTGTGAAACTGCTGGACATTTTTTTCCTCCCTCTTCCCTCTCTTTCCCACAGAGTGATAGTTGCCTTAGCAACCGTGGCAAATCTTCCTTTTCTCAAACAGATGTCCCATTTAGTTGGAAATTAGAATGTGTAAAAACCCAGGAGACTCAAATTATTTCCAAGTTCTCCGGGAGGAGGGAGACGGAGAAGAAAAGAGGAGCGCAGAAAAGAAAGGAGTGGCGAGGGATGGAGAGAAAAAGAGGAAAAGGGAGGGAGAGGGTTACATATCCTCCTCCTCAGGAAGTGTGAAAGTGTGTTGATTAGCCATCGCTGTGGGGCAGCTAATTCTGACGCCCGACCAACACTGAAGAGGCAGCAGACGGAAAAAGACACAAGAAAGGGAGGACAAGATGAATACAGGATGGGTATGAACCATTGTAGGGTCCGTCTTTCGCTTAATACGGTGTATCATTTTATTCTCCGAATCATTTTTTTTTCTGATACGACTGATAAAGCGGGTGAAGTCATGGAGAAGGGCGGAGATAAACTGTAGCATCTCGCCTGTTTTGCAGGTAAACAGATTCAGCGTTTATGAGAATGTAAAGAAATTCCCCAGAGCCGTGCGTGCTCACATATGTGCGAAGACACAAGCCCGGTGTGAGCGAGGAGTTTTCGCCTTGGAGACCAATTTACAGGTAACATCCAGCCAAGACATGAAGCCCCACATTCAGCTGCTTTTAATAAAAAAAAGCTTTCTTTTCTAGTGCTTTCCCAGACAGAATGATTGACGCATAGATAACAGGCTGAAAAGACTGGCGGGTTGGAATATCTGGCCCTTGATTCGTGTCGACGTTCCCCATGCAATGCTTTCAACTCTATGGAGCATTAAGCTACAGCTTACCTATTGGAGCAATGCCATTTTTTAACGTTTTGCGGGGGGGGGGGGGGGGGGGGGGTTTGCAGTAAGGGTAATCGCTGACATTTCAAAGCACTGTCAATGATTATGCACATATATTGGTGGTATCACGGTCATAAATTCAAAAGTGTTTGGGGCACAGTGCCACAAATTGCCCTAGATATTTAAAATGTGGAATGTGATCTATATATACACAATGTATTATAATTTTATATATTGTTATAGCCATAATATATTACGATATTTTATTCTAGGGCCATCTATAGTTACAGGTTTTGACCCTTTTAATTCATTAATTCATATGAATTATTTGACAAAAAATATAAATAGACAACAAACAGATTTATACAGTAAAAAAAAGAAAAAGCCCTCATAAGGTCCTAGTGTTAATTTGATTTATTAACAAAAATCGACAACAAACTGGGTGTAAATTATAAATTATCGCTCATAAATTATCAATAAACAAAGAAATTAATACATTTCTGGGTAACACTTTACTTGAAGGGGTGTGCATAAGACTAACATGACACCTTCATAATCATGACATGACACATGTTATGAATATGAAGGAAGTGTTATGCATGTTTGTGACAACTGTCATTAAGTGTCATTCGCTCAATTATGACATTTTTAATGCAAATATGACATTGTTTGAGATGTCTTTGTTATGACACCTTGACATAAACCAATACATCATAACCTGTCAGTGTCTTTGTCATGACAACTTGACATTACTAAGACAACACAACCTGTCATAAACATGACATAGCAGATTAATTATCAAACTTAAGAAACCACTTAGCTTTATTGGTTAACATTACATTAAACTGTCAGGTGGTTGGTTTTGACATTGGCTGTCATGAAGCCATTATAACGGTTTAATGACAAATTCAATTTGTACCACTGTAGTTGAGGTCACGAAAAATATTCATGACACAGTTATAATGGCCTCATGACAGCCAATGTCAAAACCAACCACATGACAGTTTAACTTAATTTAATGTCAAGTTGTCATGACAAAGACACTGACAGGTTATGATGTTATGGTTTATGTCAAGGTGTCATAACAAAGACATCTTAAACAATGTCATATTTGCATTCAAAATGTCATTATTGAGCGAAAGACACTTAATGACAGTTGTCATAAACATGCATAAACCCTACTTCATATTCGTGACATATGTCATGTCATGGTTATGAAGGTGTCATGTCAGTCTTATGTACACCCCTTCAAGTAAAGTGTTACCCATTTCGGACACTGACCAATACTATTATGTTGGTGACCATTTTAATTAATAAATTCAATTGAATTACTTGCACAAAAAATGGACAAAAACTGGGCATTATGTGTAAGAATAAAATATTACATAATGAATGTAATAAATAGAAGTAAAAAAAATTTTTTTTTTAAAAACTTACTTTACTTCCCACTTACTTAAAAGAACAACAAAACAAAACAAAAACCCCGGATAAACAATTTCTGAATCCTACCATTAAATTTCCAATTCTGCTCTTTTTCTGTCCAAAGCTGAAATATATTTGATCTTTTTCCTAATACTGTCACACTTCCCGCTTTCTTGCTATCTGGCAGCCTCATAAAAGCCCATAACGACCAAGTTTGGAAGTTGAAGCACAAGACATGAGCCACGTGAAAAGGCCTTTCAGAAGAAGAAAAAACCCAAAGCAGATGGAAACAGATAAGGTCGAACAACTTCTCGGAGTTAAGAGCGGCTAACTCAAGTGTGTGAGCGTGCGTGAGGGGTCTACATGACAGGACTAGGCCGTTCAGACACCCCCTCTCCCTCAGGCATCTCAGATGTTAATTGAGGAGGTCCTCCAGTGGCCAGCCCTACATAGCCGAAGCGGTGAGCTCTTTTCCCCGTGGGGAGACACGACTGATACTGTACTAATCTCTCCTCTCTTCTCAAATCATTCTCCACATCAGCCGCCACTTTAATTAATTCACACAGACGTGCTTGACAAGGTCAAGCAGTTAAACGCACTGTTTTATATATATACCCACCACCACACCGTCCTCTCGATCATTAGGCTCAGTTCCTTCCTCCTCTCCTCCTTTTAAATCTTTCGCTTCGTCCAAATGAAGAGCTGTTCATTAGTAGCTTGTGCCGTGTCCCCTTCATCAGTGAAGAGGAGTCATCAAAACAGGGGAGGCAGGTACACCAGAAGAGAAAACACGCATCCTTTCTGTCTTTCACTTTACTTTCTTTCTCCTCTTTCTTTTTTGTTTTGTTTTGATGAGCTTCTTTAATTGGGCCACTACAGAGGCGAAGCAAATCCTCAATAATTAAAAAATCTAATTACGGAGTCTTTTGCATCTCTGGCAATAATTATTCCTCGTGGAGTCACTGGATAGTGAACATTTCTTCTATTTTCATTTCAGTTTTACAGGGGGAAAAGTCTGCTTTCTCCTTAATGCTTTATCCCCTCCTCTTTTCAGTCTCTTTTCCTCCTCCTCCTCCCCCTTTGCAGCTTTCTCAGGACAAACTTTTTGATGGTTGTCACTGATCTTAAACAATAAAAACGCTTAAACACCCACATACAGTACATGCACACATATGAGGTGAGCAGTATGACTAAAAAATAAATAAAATCACAGAAAGAGTAACTTTACATCATGTTAACAGTAAATGGTATTCTGTAATCTTAATAAATAATTTTTAAAATAAAACTATAAGCTTTTATGTATGCATACTATTATATACTACATAATGATATATTACACTACTTTTGTTTAATCCAGTGAATTAAATACTTAAATACCTATTAATGACCAGTTCTCCCGTTTTGACTTTGTAATTTTGCATTACTCCACGTTAATCCATAAAATATAGCATGGCACCGGGACGTCATGCCGTCATGCAAACCTATATATATATACAAACCTATATATAAACACCTGGCAACCAGGTGTTCAAGAACATTGACGTTGATCATCTGTCTTTGCTTATGAACGCCCTGCTGTGCTTTATAACAGTGTAAGAAGCCCCCAGCTGCCCCTCAGAGCAGGAGAACAAGACTGACTGAAAGTGATTGACAAAAATCTGTTACAATTAATGTCCTTTGTGGTGCTCTTGTAGGAGATGCAAGTTTTAGACCAGCTTGAATCATTTGCTGATCCTGTTCCACACCTTTGCATTTTATATTTTCACTACTACACTAACACTGTCAAGGCATAGTTGAAAATGAAAACAAAACAATTAAAATAAAATCCTCTAGAACTCGAGACATGAGTTTCAAGAGACTTTTTTCCCCCAGTAGAAAAATAAACAAGTCTTACTTTCATGAGCTTAAGAAATGCAATTTGCAAATTTTCTCTCCTGAGTAGCCCTGCAGTGTTACAAATTAATTTTACAGAACAAATACAGATACAGTATGAATTTAATTCCATTTTTCAATTATGCATCACAAAAAAAAAAAAAAAAGTTGTTCAAAATAGTTTTAGATGAAGTATAGCATGACATACTGGCGGACACTGCTGCCACTGCTTATAAACTATTCAAATAAAAGAGCAAAAAGGCCAAAAATGTCACTTTTCACTTTGTACAGTTTGCGCATACAAAGGTAAACCAAAGGCATACAAAAGCAAAGCCAAAACCTTTTAATCTCCCGAGTTTCAATGCACTTTTCTCGATTACCTTCAACCTGCTCTTACTGCCGGTGCATAAACATTCAGCTATCAGCTTTACTCCCCCCCGCAGGGCACACAGGATGTGTTTGTGTTCACCAAGCATCATTGTATGCATAACTGTCCATATGAGCGCATATACATGGGAAAGTTTAAGCTGCTTGCGTGCGAGTGTGTTTAGCTGAGAGCGATATGTGCAGTGGGTCCTACACAATTGTTTGTGCTTCACGCTCTTCTGAAAGGGACAGCCATCCTTAATACTTCATCCACCCACACCAGCTCTCACACACGCACACAAATAGGCACAAACGCACCACGCGTCTCTGCATTTGCAGATCTGCGGATGACAAATGACTTGTAAACTTGCATTAGCGTCAGCAGAACAGAAAAACACCCCACATGTTTCCCCCATGCAGGTCTTTTCATTCCAGAATCACCGTATGACAAATAGTCAGGATTTAGGAAAGAATGCAGCGTGCCAAGATCTCATTTAGCCCGGTAGAGGAGAGCGAGCATGTGTGTGAAAGCATGCAGATTACGAGTAGGGATGTGCAACAGCGACTAGTCAATTATAGAGGTCGACTAGTCTCTCATGTTTTCTTATTTATTATCATTCCTATTGAGGAATTTTAGTGATTTTAAGCATTAAAATTAGCGTTTCAGCTGCACGGAACAACGTTCTCGGAGGGTTTAAACCCCGGGTTATTGTCATTCTAAACCTCGATTTTAACCCTGGGTAAAGGAAGGCTTCACACTTGTAATTTAGAAGCGGAGTTAGCACCACCTTTTATCTGAGGTTAGCAGCACTTTTGCGGTGTAAACCCAGCATTGCGGTGCCAAATGTGTGCAGTGTGAAACGATCCCGTGTTACACAACTAAACCAATCGGCAATCGCGTGCTTCATATTCACATGCTTTGGACAGTCATGGAAACACAACGCATTGTAAAAATAGTAGTGTCAGCATTTGAGGGGAAAACTGTTAAATGGTGACAGAAAACACGACAATTGCAGTTAAGACGAAACCGTTTCGTTCTTCCATTCAGGAAAAACTAGAAAGCAGTCTGCTATATATAATAGGAGAATCTGCAAAGCTAGAACCTTTATATAAACAGGTTGAATGCCTAGTTTGTCCAATCAATGACAATGACACTGACATAGCAAATATGCAAATAAAAAAGTTTACCCAGGATTTAGTGTGAAACGAAACGACATCTTCAATACCCAAGTAATTTTTAACCCCAGATTATGAGCATTCTTGTGAAATGTGAGATAACCCAGGATTCCATTTACCCAGGGTTTGGAATGATCCAGGGTTAACTATTTCAAGTGTGAAAAGCCCTTAGGAGAGATAAGGAACACGATTAAAAGAAC